ATTATCATTTATAAGTTACTTAATTAGAGCAATTACTAAATCAATATAGTATCAAATTCTTAAATTAAAATACAACATCTAATTCAATAAAAACAGATGAATCAAATAAATTTACTTTACAATTACCTTTGGAAAATATAAATGAACAAGGGATCAGAGATTCAGAAATGTCAAAATATTTGAATTATTAAATGGAATAATATGTTTAAAATCTGATCCAATAGAAAGACGATGAGATAACTAAATTAAAGCATAAAATAGCCGATATGCTCAACCTTGCTTTAGAATTAGGCAATTCAGTGTTAATCGAGTAAATGTAACTCACAGTAATGTGAGCATTATATGATTACGAATGAAATTCAAATTTTATAATTTTGAAAACATACTTCTTGAAATCAAAAAGAAGTTATATTATTATTTAATTTCTATATTTTATATTAATAATATGATTTAATATTATTATAAATATCTAAGAAAAATTAAAAAAAATTTAAATTGATTCTTAAATTAATATATCATTATTGTATTATTATGATTTTATTTGATTTGTTCTCTTTTTGGATATCCTTCAACTGATATAATAATTTCATATATAAAAAATTATAATAAAAAAATTAATTTGAAAATGCAATAAGCAAACGATGAGGAGGCATAGAGATTGAAGGCCAAATCAGACTTATAATCTGTAACATATATGCAGTGAAAAAGATATTTTTATTAGTGTCAATTATAATGGGCTTTTGTTTTTTATTTAATTCGAATATAACATTTGGATGGGATTACAAAATAATTATTGTATATGCATGTACAACATAATTCGCATTTATGATATCAAAATTACTTTCTAGTAAAGGGTATTTAATATGCAAATTAAATATAGCATCAATTCTTATTGTTGTTTTGCTGTATTGGAAAGTGCTATTTTAATCACTTATTTATTAGGAATCGTCTATAATAAAGAAGTTTCACCAATAAATATTAATTTCATTAGCTACGCTCTTCTCATTTTATAATTTGTAATTTTGGCAATAACAGTTTTAATAAGTAGATAAAACTTTGATAGTGATGCTTAGGATTAATCAAAATAAATCTAAGAAATAGTATATAATTAGATCTATATAAGTTAATAGCTGCAATAAAAAGCATAGGTTCATTGTAGATTGTATTTTTAAGTTTAAAATGGAGTTAATAAATTAATTGGTGTTGGATGCAAACTCTAGTAATTATTTGGTTTAGTATTGGTACTATGGCATTGATTGAAGTATGCTTAATTATAGATTTGTTGTTAAAGTGTTGCAACGATTAACTTGAAAATAAAAAGTCATTGAGTAAAAAATATGATTATTATTAGTTTATGGAGGTGTATGGGTGAATATTGTACTGTTAGGATTTATTATTGATACAGGAATGACATTTTTAGGATTAGGTTTATTATTAGACTATAATATTGAATAAGTAAATTTATATGGTTTCATTACTTCTATAATTTATTATATATTTCAGATATTGTTCTATCTGAAAAATTAAGAAGAATTAATGTAATAACATTTATGATTATAAGTTAATTTTTAAATTTATCAGAAATATAATAACCAACTAGACCTTCAGAATAGCCTAATGAATAACTTACATTAAAAGAGAGAATTAAATAAATTCATAGAGTTAGCATAAGTAAAGTCCCTTAATTTATGGTGAAATTATCGGCCACTTATTTTAGAAAGTAAGAAATTAATGAGAATCAAAAAAACTAGAATGAATTAGGTTCATCTTAAGATAAGAAGTTTCGGTCAATAAGTTTTTCAGAAATTAAAAAACAAAAAGAAATTAAGAAAAGTCCATCTTAGGATTTAGATGAAGATTTAACAAAAAAATTTGATTAATTACTNAATATGATTTAATATTATTATAAATATCTAAGAAAAATTAAAAAAAATTTAAATTGATTCTTAAATTAATATATCATTATTGTATTATTATGATTTTATTTGATTTGTTCTCTTTTTGGATATCCTTCAACTGATATAATAATTTCATATATAAAAAATTATAATAAAAAAATTAATTTGAAAATGCAATAAGCAAACGATGAGGAGGCATAGAGATTGAAGGCCAAATCAGACTTATAATCTGTAACATATATGCAGTGAAAAAGATATTTTTATTAGTGTCAATTATAATGGGCTTTTGTTTTTTATTTAATTCGAATATAACATTTGGATGGGATTACAAAATAATTATTGTATATGCATGTACAACATAATTCGCATTTATGATATCAAAATTACTTTCTAGTAAAGGGTATTTAATATGCAAATTAAATATAGCATCAATTCTTATTGTTGTTTTGCTGTATTGGAAAGTGCTATTTTAATCACTTATTTATTAGGAATCGTCTATAATAAAGAAGTTTCACCAATAAATATTAATTTCATTAGCTACGCTCTTCTCATTTTATAATTTGTAATTTTGGCAATAACAGTTTTAATAAGTAGATAAAACTTTGATAGTGATGCTTAGGATTAATCAAAATAAATCTAAGAAATAGTATATAATTAGATCTATATAAGTTAATAGCTGCAATAAAAAGCATAGGTTCATTGTAGATTGTATTTTTAAGTTTAAAATGGAGTTAATAAATTAATTGGTGTTGGATGCAAACTCTAGTAATTATTTGGTTTAGTATTGGTACTATGGCATTGATTGAAGTATGCTTAATTATAGATTTGTTGTTAAAGTGTTGCAACGATTAACTTGAAAATAAAAAGTCATTGAGTAAAAAATATGATTATTATTAGTTTATGGAGGTGTATGGGTGAATATTGTACTGTTAGGATTTATTATTGATACAGGAATGACATTTTTAGGATTAGGTTTATTATTAGACTATAATATTGAATAAGTAAATTTATATGGTTTCATTACTTCTATAATTTATTATATATTTCAGATATTGTTCTATCTGAAAAATTAAGAAGAATTAATGTAATAACATTTATGATTATAAGTTAATTTTTAAATTTATCAGAAATATAATAACCAACTAGACCTTCAGAATAGCCTAATGAATAACTTACATTAAAAGAGAGAATTAAATAAATTCATAGAGTTAGCATAAGTAAAGTCCCTTAATTTATGGTGAAATTATCGGCCACTTATTTTAGAAAGTAAGAAATTAATGAGAATCAAAAAAACTAGAATGAATTAGGTTCATCTTAAGATAAGAAGTTTCGGTCAATAAGTTTTTCAGAAATTAAAAAACAAAAAGAAATTAAGAAAAGTCCATCTTAGGATTTAGATGAAGATTTAACAAAAAAATTTGATTAATTACTATCATCTCCACGTATAAAATTGGAAGTTAGTGAAAGTATGGCTCCAGAATTATCAAGTAGAGGATAATAGAAATAAAATGTATTATGTCTAGTTTGTTATGAAAAAGAAAGCAATATGATTAATTAGCCTTGTGGCCATGGAGGATTTTGTTAAGAATGCTCATAATAGTTATTATCAAAGAGTAATTATTGTATTTTATGTCGAAAACCTGTGACTCACACATTACTAGTATAAGGAGTTGAAAATCGTGAAAGTTTAGTTGAAGTTGTAGGAATTTATTAAGGAGGATAGAAATAAAAATGATAAATTTATGCTAATAATTCATTTAATTAATATAATATAATCAATAAATATTTTTAAATAAAAATTTTATCATAAGCAAGAATATAGATGTTCTGTTGTTTCTACATTTTCTTTCTTTTAATTATCTAAAATCTAATTCAGTAGCTGAACCAATTGTTATTCAACAGCCAGAATAAATTTATCATATAGTTAAAGAAATATTATTATTTGAAAAAAAATCAAGAAATATTTTATTAGTATATTAGTGGAGAAACTTTTTATTTTTTAAATATGAGATATTTTCAAAATAAGTCTTTTTTCTTGGCAATGATAAAGCAATTAATAATAGCCTTAAAAGGAACTTATAGATCGAACCTATTTTTTGAGTACACAACAATTTTACTAAATTGAAAAGCTAAATTCTTATCTTAAAAATGTAGTTTATTACGATAATGATTTAGATCAATTTTAATTAATTTTTTTTTATTACCTCTAATCCCTCAATATTTTGAGAAAAAATCAAATAATACAAAATTTTTTTATATATTTCTCATCAATAGTCATTCTTAAGGAAATAGAGCTTTGAAATATATTGTAATTTTTTACTTTAAAATTTTCTTTAACTGCATAATTTATTCAAAATATAACTATTTTAATCTTTTTGATCAAATTGTGTATTTGCATATGTTACTCTTTTTAATGGTGCTTTGTTAGGGAATAGTTTGACCTTTTTGTATAAAGGTTTTATTTCGAATTATAAATTTACATTTAAATCATATTTTATTGTTTATTTTAAATTTTCTTTTTTTGGTTGAATCATTTCATCGTCTTGACAATTAATAATTAGTTTATGATAATTTTCTGTATTACTCATTACAAATAGACTAGGCTAAAAATTAGATTTAGCATAAAACTATTATTAAGGTTAGAATGTGTTAAAATTGGGAAATTTGGAGAAGATTAAAGTGGTATTTGATTAAAATTTTGGAAATTTAACTACTGTTTTTGATTTAAAATTTATTATTGTTAATTAGATAAATTGGCAAACATTTGATTATTAATTCATTATGATAAAGAAATAAAATATTTAAATAATTTAAAATTTTATTTTTTGCTTTCAATCATATTATTTTGATTATTTTATATAATTATTTATTAAAATTCCCTGAAAATCTTTACTCATGTAAATAAAGATAAACACATGAATTAAATTTTAAAAAGAAGGAATAAAAATTATGAATTATATACTATGAATATAAATAAAACTATTGGTATCAATTAAATTAAAAAAGAAAGAATAATTATGAATAATTATATCAGAAATTATCAAATAATTTGTATTTATAAGCAAATTTTTTTATGCGCATTTAAATATTAAAAAAAATAAAATGATTAAGACCAACTTTCAATAACATCCTAGCAAGGTAATACTTTTATTTATGTTTTTAGATTTAAGTCTTACAAAGACCTTAAAGTTAGTTGCCGATAAACCTTTCATAATAACTTTAATAAAAAAACTTAGAATACGTTTAGTAATAAAAAATTGCAAAATAACCTGTAAGATAAACTCTCCAATATCAAATGAACCCTCATATTAATTAATTATAATTCAAATAGAGTCAGTTAGTGTAGCAAACTCAATTAGGATAATAAATAACTTATTACCCTAATGTATAAAGTATATAAAGATCTCAAGTTGTTTAAAAGATCATAAATTATCAAGACGATGAAATGATTCAACCAAAAAAAGACAATTTAAAATAAACAATAAAATATGATTTAAATGTAAATTTATAATTCGAAATAAAACCTTTATAAAAAAAGGTCAAACTATTCCCTAACAAAGCTTAATACTTACCTGGAATTGTAAGTATAAAAGCATAAGATAAAATTATTACTCAAAATTCTGAAAATTAAAGGGTTGGAGTAGATTTGGTATTTATTTTTTAATTTATGTTTAGATTTGTTTGATTGATATTAGTGGAAGTATGGAGGGAGTCAAAATTCAAATGGCTAAATAATCTTTAATTGTTTTACTTTAATTTCTTGGAGATAACGATAGACTACAATTAATAACATTTGATGATTATGCCCATAGATTATCACCATTAAAGAGAGTAACAAAATAGAATAAAATCTATTTTACTTAAATTATTCAATAAATTTAGATAGATGGAGGTACTTGTATCTCAGAAGGTACTAAAATGGCATTTTGCTAATTAAAAAATAGAAAATATGTCAATAATGTGACATCTATTTTCTTGCTTTCAGATGGTCAAGATGGTAATGCAGTTTAAAGGATATCGGAGCAAATAAAGACAGTCAATGAAGTATTTACTTTACATACATTTGGTTTTNTAGAATGTGTTAAAATTGGGAAATTTGGAGAAGATTAAAGTGGTATTTGATTAAAATTTTGGAAATTTAACTACTGTTTTTGATTTAAAATTTATTATTGTTAATTAGATAAATTGGCAAACATTTGATTATTAATTCATTATGATAAAGAAATAAAATATTTAAATAATTTAAAATTTTATTTTTTGCTTTCAATCATATTATTTTGATTATTTTATATAATTATTTATTAAAATTCCCTGAAAATCTTTACTCATGTAAATAAAGATAAACACATGAATTAAATTTTAAAAAGAAGGAATAAAAATTATGAATTATATACTATGAATATAAATAAAACTATTGGTATCAATTAAATTAAAAAAGAAAGAATAATTATGAATAATTATATCAGAAATTATCAAATAATTTGTATTTATAAGCAAATTTTTTTATGCGCATTTAAATATTAAAAAAAATAAAATGATTAAGACCAACTTTCAATAACATCCTAGCAAGGTAATACTTTTATTTATGTTTTTAGATTTAAGTCTTACAAAGACCTTAAAGTTAGTTGCCGATAAACCTTTCATAATAACTTTAATAAAAAAACTTAGAATACGTTTAGTAATAAAAAATTGCAAAATAACCTGTAAGATAAACTCTCCAATATCAAATGAACCCTCATATTAATTAATTATAATTCAAATAGAGTCAGTTAGTGTAGCAAACTCAATTAGGATAATAAATAACTTATTACCCTAATGTATAAAGTATATAAAGATCTCAAGTTGTTTAAAAGATCATAAATTATCAAGACGATGAAATGATTCAACCAAAAAAAGACAATTTAAAATAAACAATAAAATATGATTTAAATGTAAATTTATAATTCGAAATAAAACCTTTATAAAAAAAGGTCAAACTATTCCCTAACAAAGCTTAATACTTACCTGGAATTGTAAGTATAAAAGCATAAGATAAAATTATTACTCAAAATTCTGAAAATTAAAGGGTTGGAGTAGATTTGGTATTTATTTTTTAATTTATGTTTAGATTTGTTTGATTGATATTAGTGGAAGTATGGAGGGAGTCAAAATTCAAATGGCTAAATAATCTTTAATTGTTTTACTTTAATTTCTTGGAGATAACGATAGACTACAATTAATAACATTTGATGATTATGCCCATAGATTATCACCATTAAAGAGAGTAACAAAATAGAATAAAATCTATTTTACTTAAATTATTCAATAAATTTAGATAGATGGAGGTACTTGTATCTCAGAAGGTACTAAAATGGCATTTTGCTAATTAAAAAATAGAAAATATGTCAATAATGTGACATCTATTTTCTTGCTTTCAGATGGTCAAGATGGTAATGCAGTTTAAAGGATATCGGAGCAAATAAAGACAGTCAATGAAGTATTTACTTTACATACATTTGGTTTTGGATAAGATCATGATGCTTCTATGATGACTTAAATTTGTAATTTAAAAAGTGGAAGTTTCTATTTTGTTTAGAATGTAACATTATTGGATGAATTCTTTGCAGATGCTTTGGGAGGACTTATTTCAGTTGTTGGTGAATAATTAGAAATAACTATTACTTCTTAAGCACCTCCTCCCTATTAAAACATTTAAATATCTAAAACTTATGGTAATATGTGGCAAAAGAAAGGAAATCAATATTATATTACACAACCTTAATTTTCTTCAGGATCCAGAAAAGATTTTGTTTTTGAACTGGCTCTTCCTAAATTTTCAGGTAGAGTTTAAGACTTTTCAAGATCTATTGGGGTTTTATTTGCTGAATTAAAAATTTAAGATCCTACTAATAATTCTATTATAACAAAAAGAGCAAGCCTTGATTTAAACTTTTTTAATTTTGACGAATAAATCAATGAAAATATTTATCCTGATCTTGATGTTTATGCATAGTATTTCAGAGTCAAAGGAACAGAAGTAATTGATGAAGCAAGAAAAGCTTGTGAATAAAATAAGAATGAGGATGCCTGTAAATTAATTGATAATATGTTGATACAAATTTAACAGAATCCAAATGTTGCTGCTTAATGTACTGGAATTATTTAAGATTTGCAATAAGCAAAATAAGCATCTACAAGAACATCATATGATTTATTTGGCCAGAAACTAATGTGTCAAATGGTCTGTAATAATTATCAATAGGGAGGAGTCAATTCTATGTTTTCTACCTAAGGAATTTAATTATAATAAAATTAGCCAGCTGCATACTAGAATATTTAATAATAATAGATGATGGTTTAAGTGCAATAATAAAAACCTAATTGCAGGCAATATTGATTTTTTAAATAAATTTATTAATAATTTTATAAAAAATAAATATTAATTTATTATTCTAATATTTCCCTAATTTTATTCAAAGAGATCAGTAAAAATAAATTATGAATCTTATAGAGGTACATTGAATGAATATTGCAGTTAATGTGCCTTAAAAATATGTTAATACTCCAAATATTCATCACTTTACTTTAGTGATTGGTTAGGAATATGTAGAGTATGTAGAACACTGTAAGTATTGTTTTTGATACAATTAATATGATTTGAAATAATTATATGTATCATCAGGGTATATATTTGATTTTACTATAAATTATTTTTGAAAAATTAAAATAGTTGCTAAAATCATAGCTCAATCTTTAATCTTATTCTATATCATATCATTATTTGAATCATTTCATCGTCTTGACAATTAATAATTAGTTTATGATAATTTTCTGTATTACTCATTACAAATAGACTAGGCTAAAAATTAGATTTAGCATAAAACTATTATTAAGGTTAAATGAGAAGGTTCTCTAAAAAATTATAATTAGTATATGTAGAATGTGTTAAAATTGGGAAATTTGGTGAAGATTAAAGTGGTATTTGATTAAAATTTTGGAAATTTAACTACTGTTTTTGATTTAAAATTTATTATTGTTAATTAGATAAATTGGCAAACATTTGATTATTGATTCATTATGATAAAGAAATAAAATATTTAAATAATTTAAAATTTTATTTTTTGCTTTCAATCATATTATTTTGATTATTTTATATAATTATTTATTAAAATTCCCTGAAAATTTTTACTCATGTAAATAAAGATAAACACATGAATAAAATTAAAAAAGAAGGAATAACAATTATGAATTATATACTATTGATATAATTAAAACTTTTAGTACCAATTAAATTAAAAAAAAAGAATAATAATGAATAATAATATCAGAAACTATCAAAATAATTGTATTTAATATCAAATTTTTTTTTATATACATTTAAATTTAAAAATGATTCCGACCAACTTTCAATAACATCCTAGCAAGGTAATAATTTTATTTATGTTTTTAGATTTAAGTCTTACAAAGACCTTAAAGTTAGTTGCCGATAAACCTTCCATCATCGTTTTAATAACAAAAATATGAATATATAAACATTTAGTAATAAAAAATTGCAAAATAACCTGTTAGATAAACTCTCCAATATCAAATAAATCCTCATATTAATTAATTATAATTCTAATAGGGTAATTTAGTGTAGCAAACTCAATTAGGATAATAAATAACTTATTACCCTAATGTATAAAGTATATAAAGAACTAAATTTGTTTAAAAGAACATAAATTAATAAAACAATGAAATGATTCAACAAAAAAATGATAAGTAAAAATAAAAATAGATATTTGATTTTAATGTAAGTTTATTAGAAATAAAACCTCTATATAAATAAGTCAAACTATTCCCTAACAAAGCATAATATTTACCTGGAATTTTAAGTATAAAAGTAGAAGATTAAGCTATTATCAAAGATCCTGAAAATGTATATTATGGAATAGATTTGGTATTTATTTTTTAATTTATGTTTAGGTTTGTTTGATTGATATTAGTGCAAGTATGATTGGAGGTAAAATTCATATGGTTAAATAATCTTTAATTGTTTTACTTCAATCTCTTGGAGTTTAAGATAGACTACAATTAATAATATTTGATGATTATGCCCATAGTTTAACACCATTAATAAATGTAACAAAACAGAATAAAATTTATTTTACTTACATTATTCAATAAATTGAGGCAAATGGAGGTAATTGTATTTTAGAAGCTATTAAAATGGCATTTTGCTAATTAAAAAATAGAGAACATAAATAATATCAGACACTTATTTTCTTATTTTCTGATGGTATTGGTTTTACTTTTCCAGAAATTAAGGAGTAAATAAAGACATTTTAGGAAGTATTTCCTTTACATACATTTGGTTTTGGATAAGATCATGATGCTCGTATGATGACTTAAATTAGTGATTTAACATGTGGAAGTTTCTATTTTGTTTAGGATTTAATATTTTTGGATGAATACTTTCAAGATGCTTTGGGAGGGGTTCATTCAGTTTTTGGAGAGGAATTAGAAATAACAATTACTTCTTAAGCATCTCCTCCCTATTAGAATATTTAAATATTTAAAATTTATGACGATAGATGTCAAAAGAAAGGAAATCAATATTATATCAGATATAATATTATTCCTTTGGAAACCAGAATAGATTTTGTTTTTGAACTGGCTCTTCCTAAATTTTAAGGTAGAGTTTAAGACTATCCAAGATCTATTGGGGTTTTATTTGCAGAATTAAAAATTAAAGATTTTACTGATGGATATACTATAACAAAAAGAGCAAGCCTTGATTTAAATTTATTTAATTTTGACGAGTAAATCACCGAAAATATTTATCCAGATCTTTATGTTTATACAAGGTATTTCAGAGCCAAAGGAACAGAAGTAATTGATGAAGCAATAAAAGCTTTTGAATAAAATAAGAAGGAGGATGCCTATAAATTAATTGATAATTTGTTGATACAGATTTAAAAGAATCCAGATGTTGCTGCTTTATGTACAAGAATTATTTAAGATTTGTAAAAAGCAAAATAAGCATCTGCTAGATCATCATTTAGTTGTGATGCCCAGAGATATTTTCTTGAAATGGACAGTAATAATTATCAAAATGAAGGATTTAATTCTATGTTTTCTAACCAAGGAATTCCATTTTAAGAAAATTAGCCAGCTGCATACTAGAATATTTAATAATAATAGATGATGGTTTAAATGCAAAAATAAAAACCTAATTGCATGCAATATTGATTGTTTATATAAATTTATGAATAATTTTATAAAAAATAAATATTAATTTATTATTCTAATATTTCCCTAATTTTATTCAAAGAGATCAGTAAAAATAAATTATGAATCTTATAGAGGTACATTGAATGAATATTGCAGTTAATGTGCCTTAAGAAGGTGTTAATGCTGCATAGATTCATCTATTTACTTAAGCGATTAGTAAGAATATGTGAGTAGATAATACAGAACACTGTAAGTATTGTTTTTGATACAATTAATATGATTTGAAATAAGTATATGTAAGATAATCTTCCTAAGCTAAAGGATGTTCACTTTTTCATTCATGTATTTGATTTTACTATAAATTATTTTGAAAAATTGAAATAATTGCTAAAATTATGGCTAAATCTTTAATCTAATTATTATGAATTATTTTTTGATAATGTTGAGGATGAAAAAAGTAACAAAGTGGTAATTACTAAAACATAAAATATATTATAAAATTTTTAAAATAATAATTCTTAATTTAATTTGTATACAATTTATTTTAGAGTTTCGAAAACGAAGTTCATATATTGATATTTTTTATAAAAAATAACAAACATTAAGTATTTTAATCAAAATAGTTTAAAACATCATCCTTATTCTTTTCTAAGCCATTTCACAATAAAACTTTACTTTGGATTTTTTATATTCTGATTTGATAAAAATATAAAGAAATATTAAGAAAAATATAATTTAATTATCTTGCATAGAGAGTTGCTAATTTATATGAGCAATGCTTAATAATATATTAAAGCTTGAAAATTAAATAAATATTCATCAATTAACTTCTTCTTCTACATCTTTTGCAAATTCTAGTTTCAAATCTTTATAAAACTAAGTCAAATGAACATTAGTAATAGCTACACTATTAGCAATAGACTTATTTTAGCTAGGTAAAATAGGAATCACCTAGAGTATTTTACTTTTTAATGTGTTTAAATATTATAAAATTGGAGTTGTTATAGGATCAGTGTTTTCTGAAGTATCAATAGAAAGAGATAACTCTTTAATTCGATCATTATAGTAATCACCTCCCCACCATAATTCTGTTTCATCATCAAAGTTTTTATCCATTAAACAATTCAGAATAATTGTTGTTTCTACAAGTAACTATGTAAAGATTATTATAAAGTTTACTTAAATTGTTTCTTTAATGATAAACTCTCTATTTTTAAGAGAATCATTTTTAGAATTAATATAGTTTATGTATTCATTTCTATAATATTCTAAAACTTTGGATTTAATTTTTAAAGCCTTCTCTGTGAAGTTATTGTAAGATCTGAGTATCAATTAAGATTTGCCTTCAATTCTTTCTGCCAGAATATCACAAGAATCAACATATATTTAATTTTTTTCAATCTACTCTTTTAAATATTCTTTGACTGGCTTTGTTCTCATCACATTAGCTAAAGATTGGCTTTCCACAAAATCAATAGCCTCCTTTGTGGTACTGAGTGTTTAAGGACTGCTTTAAGATTGTTTGATCTCAAGTATTTTGATTGGTTTTTTCTCTTTTTGTTTCGTACACTGAAGGCCCATTAAATAAGTATTGTTATTATTAATAATTTTAAATCAAATTTAGCCTTGTAGTCCCAAATAAGTATCTTTTCATAATAATCTAGTATGCTATAGTCATGAAAATTATTTTAGAAAAGTTTTCTAAACAAGTTTTGAAAAGAGATAAGATTTTACCGCTTATTAATTTAAATGCGTCATCAAAATTATAAAAAAATTCAAGAATTCATAAAATATCTATATGATTCCATTGTTATCAATCAAAAACTCTATCCAAAATTTTCTAATTGATTATCTTTTCATATCTAAAATAATAATTATACAATATCAACAATTTTTTTGGAACATAGTAATATAGTAATATTTTAAAATATCCTTTTCTAAATAAGTTCATTCATATTTGAAACAATATCTAAATGTGGTTTTCTTTCATATTCTTTCACTCTTTTAAATACTTTTTAAGCTTATAAATACAACTAATAAAGCATTTTATATTAGCATTATTTAGACTGATTATAGGACAACATTATTAGTCAAATTTATAAATAAATACTTTATATTATATTATTGGCATACTTTCTAATTCCTCCAAAAAAAAATTATACAAAATTTATCTATTTGATCTACAAAATTTTTAAATTATGAACAAATAAATTCCTCCTTTTAAATCAGATGGTTGATTCAATAAATCTATTTTTATACTTTATTTTTCTATTTCAACAAGATAATCAACTAATATTTAAATTATTTCAATGTTGTTGGATCCAAATTTTTTATCTACGTAATATGAATTGAATTATCTGTATTCGAATTTTCTGTAAAAAATGTTTCACATTTAATGTTATATATTTTTGTTCTAGACTTTTTGATGTTTGAGTTTATTAGCTGTGAATTTTCGTTTTTATCTTGTAAATTAAAAATTTTTTTTGATTCTCCCTTAATATATTCCTTAATTTGATTATATTCATTTGTTAAAGTACTCATAATTTATTGATACCAAACCCCTTTTTATTTTTTTATTTTCTCAAGTAATCGAGCATTTTTTCAAAAAATCTATATTTTTATTATAAAGTATTAGATTTGTAAGTTATAAAGACATTTTAAAGAATAGTGGTTTTGTTATTTTATAACATACAGATTAAAATCGTATTCTATCATCAACCTCAATACTTTATTTTCTCTTCTTTCAATTCATATATTTACTTGAAATCATGTACATTTTTATTATTCTTACCTGCTTAATCATAAAAGCATATTTTGTGAAATATTATGAAATTTATTTTTGTTGAACATGCTCTAACATCATTTTTGTGGATTATAACTACCAGCCTTATGTTTTATGGTTTATTAAACATCAAATTATATATTAATATTAAATTTAAAAAAAAGAATTTTATTAACATAATTGAACTTAATTGAATTCATTCTTTTGTATAATTTTTAACTTTTAAGAAGAACATTATTGAGTTATTGGATTCTCGAAGAAGTTTTTACTAAATTTATTTAAATATAGATTGAGGTTGATGATTATCAGCATATTTCTTTTGAAATTTATTTTTAATTAATATTTTATTTATCTTAATTAATTTATTAAAACGATCACTTTAATTGCATTTTCAAGGGATTATAATAAAAGTACTTTGAAAACTATTTAAATCGTTTTTCCAATCATCTTAGAGCTCTCTTATATCTTAAATATAATACATGAATCATAGTATTCTATATATTAATTTTGGTTAAGTCTATGATGAATTCTACTTCATTATATATTATATTACAAAAATTTGAGATATTTTAAACTATCGACTATCTATTATTAATTTATTAAATTATTAATATATAAGATAAGATTTATTCAATATTCTGGTTTATGAGTAAAATATATGTAATTATTATATATTACTAAAAAATATTCACAAATCAGTTTATGATTCATTCTATTGAAGATCATTATCCTAGGTATGATTATTGACATCATCTAAATTGTCATCATAATTATAATCAATATTTTGTTATTGTTGATCTTAACCTTCCTAAATATTATTTTTTTAATGATTAACAAGATCTTCTTCTGCTTGTTTCATCAATTCACTCAGATCTGGTATAGCTCTTTTATGTAATGGTTCCTAAATTTCATATTTTATTATACTTATTTGCCCTCTAATTTATCTTTACCCCATTCAAGAATGTCATCTATAGTTTATTCACTTGCTTCCTAAAATCCTGTTATATATGAAGGTTCTTGAACAATAATGTATATTAGGAAAATAAATGCAATTATACCAATTAATCTAAAAGAAATTTCTAACTTTCCATCTGTGTATTTGTAATTTGAATATAGAGGTTTGAATGNTTATTTTATAACATACAGATTAAAATCGTATTCTATCATCAACCTCAATACTTTATTTTCTCTTCTTTCAATTCATATATTTACTTGAAATCATGTACATTTTTATTATTCTTACCTGCTTAATCATAAAAGCATATTTTGTGAAATATTATGAAATTTATTTTTGTTGAACATGCTCTAACATCATTTTTGTGGATTATAACTACCAGCCTTATGTTTTATGGTTTATTAAACATCAAATTATATATTAATATTAAATTTAAAAAAAAGAATTTTATTAACATAATTGAACTTAATTGAATTCATTCTTTTGTATAATTTTTAACTTTTAAGAAGAACATTATTGAGTTATTGGATTCTCGAAGAAGTTTTTACTAAATTTATTTAAATATAGATTGAGGTTGATGATTATCAGCATATTTCTTTTGAAATTTATTTTTAATTAATATTTTATTTATCTTAATTAATTTATTAAAACGATCACTTTAATTGCATTTTCAAGGGATTATAATAAAAGTACTTTGAAAACTATTTAAATCGTTTTTCCAATCATCTTAGAGCTCTCTTATATCTTAAATATAATACATGAATCATAGTATTCTATATATTAATTTTGGTTAAGTCTATGATGAATTCTACTTCATTATATATTATATTACAAAAATTTGAGATATTTTAAACTATCGACTATCTATTATTAATTTATTAAATTATTAATATATAAGATAAGATTTATTCAATATTCTGGTTTATGAGTAAAATATATGTAATTATTATATATTACTAAAAAATATTCACAAATCAGTTTATGATTCATTCTATTGAAGATCATTATCCTAGGTATGATTATTGACATCATCTAAATTGTCATCATAATTATAATCAATATTTTGTTATTGTTGATCTTAACCTTCCTAAATATTATTTTTTTAATGATTAACAAGATCTTCTTCTGCTTGTTTCATCAATTCACTCAGATCTGGTATAGCTCTTTTATGTAATGGTTCCTAAATTTCATATTTTATTATACTTATTTGCCCTCTAATTTATCTTTACCCCATTCAAGAATGTCATCTATAGTTTATTCACTTGCTTCCTAAAATCCTGTTATATATGAAGGTTCTTGAACAATAATGTATATTAGGAAAATAAATGCAATTATACCAATTAATCTAAAAGAAATTTCTAACTTTCCATCTGTGTATTTGTAATTTGAATATAGAGGTTTGAATGATCCGAAGATTCCATATGACTAGAATTCTTAATATGAAAAATTACATCATTATTTAAGTTAGGGAGAATCCAAAAAGCATAACCCAATAATCTTGAGATTATATAAACAATCAATCTTATTACTTGTAGAGCAACCAGAAATACTAGAAGGTATAATGTAACTTTAAAGACACCATATTTAAATGCAAATGGCCAAATTGGATAGAGGAATGCAACAAATACTAATAGTAGAATGCCTGCCATTATGAGATTGTTCATTTTGCTCTTTACAACCAAATTCCAAGTATAAAATCCATCATTAGTAAAGGTTTAGTCCTTTGAATATGACTATATAAATTAACCTTTGTGTCAAAGACCTTTCTAGGCCATTTCTTTTTTGGGTCATCTGCTAGTCTGTCAATTTTAACAATTATGCGATTTTCATTGAGATATTTTGCTATGGATATGGCATCTTTTTTCTTATCAGGAAGTAAATTTTTAATATCCTCAAAATAGGTTGTAGTGAATTTAATGAAATCTTCTCCCTTAAAGATTTATATCTTCTTCTGATATTTGAAATTGGCATCCTTAAGCTAGATTGCATCTTTGTGCTTATGATAAAAGTGATAAAGAGGATATAATTGTTTTTCAAAGGCTTTTCTTTCCTCAGTCATTTACGTGTATAAATATTAAATTAATATATCATGTCTTTTTTTTTAGGGATTTCTGCTGGAGTTGTTATAATTATTGTTGCAAAAACTATTATTGTTAATGAAACTTTGTATCTTAACCTTAGAAATTATTATAAATTTATGCCACAATATTGGATGCACTTTTTTGGCTAGTCAATTTTTAAGCAGGTTAAACTGTAGCCTAACTTTATGATTTCTTTAATTGCTAAGATTGTATTTGTTGTTATCTGATAATTTATTATATTTCTTCAATATTTGATTTTTAAACTACCTAAGAACTATTATGATTTTCCATTTTAGTTTATTTTTAAAATATAGAACCTGATTATTATTGTTGGTCAGATTAATTAATATATTAATTTCCATCAATCAGTTCATCTGGATTCATTCCTAATTATTATAAATACTTCGCTTGCCACTTCTTTCTTTATTCTTTCTTTCTTCTATTGATATCATTATATAAAGCTTCTCTATATTCTTTAATTGAAAATTTTTTATTATCATTCATTGGTATTTTAATTGGTTCTTAACAAACAATTTCTTCTTCAGGAGATGAAAATTCTTTGACATACTTATGTCTAATGGCTTAATCAACAGTTAATCTCATTTTTGGATTAAAGACCAACAATCTAAATTTTATAGAAAAATTACCTTCTTAACAAATCTAAACAATCATCACTAGCACCTTGAAAGAATTATTAAAACGATTTCTTTTTTGTTACAGTAACAGAAGATAATATATGAGCAGCAAGAGGTGATTCTAATGATTCAACATCTTGATCGGTAGGCTTACCATTTAATTCTAAAATTCGCTCAATTTAATTTGCAGTTGAAGTTCCTGGAAATATTGCCTTACCAATTACTAATTCTCCAAGTATACATCCTATACTCCACATATCAACAGCCTTAGTATAATTAGTGGATCCAAGAAGAATTTCTGGAGCTCTATACCATCTAGTGGCTACATATTCTGTGAGAATAGGTGGAGCTATTGTTTAGAATTTATAGATGTACTGCAATCCTCTTCATTTATTGCTATACTTCTAGCTAATCCGAAATCTGCTAGTTTCATATGACATTCCGAATTTAATAATATATTTGATGGTTTAAGATCTCGATGAATCAATTCTCCTGAATGTATGTATTTAAGAGATTTCAAAATTTAATAGATAATGAATTTCTTATGCACTTCTTCAAGAATACCAGCACGCTAATTATACAATTTTTATTATACAATGACTGCATGTAAATCTGTTTCCATGTAATCGAAAACTAAATATATATCCTTATTGTTTTCTGCTTTGATAATGTTCAATAACCTAACTATATTCTCATGACCATTTAACTCTTATAAAAACATAATCTCTCTAAAAGTTCTTTGTGCATCTGTAGCATTATGGAAAGCATCAAACACTTTTTTCAATGCAACAACCTTTTAGAATTTAAAAATATAGTTGTTACAGTTTTCAATTTCTTATCAACTGCTTTCCACACTATTCCATATGCACCTTTTCCTAATTTCTAAATTATTTCGAATTTTCTAGCTATGTGTGGTTCAATTTCTTCAGCCATTTATAATTTTATTATTATTATTTTATGTGCACTAAATTGAATATAGCTAACTCTAATTCAAATGTAATGCTTTATTTAAAGTTAAGAGAAGGTGGTTGTGATAAAGTTTAAGCTCGTCAATTTTGCAGGAAGAATTTTTGTAAAGTATAACAAAAAAACTTATACAAAAGATCGATTAATCACAAAAATCAATTGGACCACCAGGACATAAAGTTCTTAAATTGCATCCCAATCATTTATAAGGAGAGAAAGGTTGGGAACCTGGATTCATGATGAAATATGATCTTGGTAGTGGTTATAGAGACTCTAAAGGTATTTTATTTAAATTAAACATTAGATTTAGTAGAAGAATAAACTCCAGCTGAAGAAGCCATATTGAAACAATATGAAAAGTATGAAAAAAAGAAAAGTGCTGCATTATTATAAAAAATGTTAGCTGTTAAAAATTATGCTGATTCTCTTAAACCTCCTAAAATAGATGTTTTTAATAAAGATAGTATAGATAGAATAAGAAAAATATCTTAAGAATTACATTAAAATCAATAAAAACCTAAAAAATATTATTAATAAGGAAATATGAAATATTATGCACTTGCTGAATATATTTCTACACATCGTTCTGGTTCATTGAACGATTTAAGAATCAATTTTGATCCTATTGTAAACACTTAAATAAAATTATAAACAGAAAATTCGTAATATTTAAGTCCAACAAAACATTTCAAAAGGTAATCTACTATAAGTGCAATTGAAAAAGGAGCCAATCTTATTATGGCCTTTTAGAATTAAACACCTATTAATGAAGAATTAGATACAAAGTCATCTTATTAAAATAATGAAGTTGCATCTTAACTTTTAAGATTTAATCATCATAAATTAGAATTGGCTGAAGAGTTCAATTCAACATAATATTTATTTACTCCATCTAGTGCTCATACAAGATAAGTAAGTCAAATTGATTAAAACGATGAAGCAGTTAAGTGTTTTGTATAATAATTTTATGATAAACAATATAATGATAAAGTTATTCCTTCAACAAAAAGGAATTTAAGATTGAGAACTATAGGAAATAATGAAATACAAAAATAGGAACCACCAAAATAAATTAAAAAAAAAGTAGAAAAAAGATTAAGTATGTGAACATATATTATCTCATTAAAAATTTTGAAATTTTTATTAGTTTATAAGAATTAAGTGATTTCTTTACATTTTATAGGGATTCAATTTTATTTATTTTATTTTTTTAATAAATCATAATGAATATAATAAATAAAGCTACATTTGGAGGTGGGTGCTTTTGGTGTATTGAAGCTATCTACAGAAGAATTTAAGGAGTAACTGAAGTATACTCTGGATATAGTGGAGGTGTATAAAAAAATACTGCTAATTATAAAGATGTATGTAAAGGGAATACTGGTCATGCTGAAGTTGTTCAAGTTATTTTCGATTAAAATAAAGTGGATTATAAGGATTTAATTTATATTTTTTTTGCTTCACATGATCCTACAACTTTAAATAGATAAGGTGATGATGAAGGTGAACAATATCGTTCAGTTATTTTTTATCATAGTGAATAATAAAAGGCAATAGTTGAGGATGTTATAAAGGAATTATAAAAAGAATATAAGAACCCTATTGTGACTTAGATAGTTTAATTTTAGGAATTTTACAAAGCTGAAGATTATCATTAAGGATATTATGATAGCAACTAAAATGAAGGTTATTGTAGAGTAGTAATATCTCCTAAGATTGAAAAGATCATCAAGAAATATAAGACTTAACTTAAACCAGAATATTAATGATTTAGAATATAATGTTTTTATTTATCATTATTCAGTATAGCTTGTAGTAGATTATCCTAATTCAACTTAATTTATAAGATCTCTCACATTCTAAGTTCCACTAATTCCCAATTTATCAAATTCAATTGTTATAGATTCTGTTATTGTTGCTTAATTAAAGAGAACAGAAACTAATCCAGCACAATTATCAGTAACTTAAGCAATCCATACTTCACTTGCTAAAACTTTCTTTACTCTACTAGCTTATATACCTAAACTATCCTTAAAAATAGTGTATTAATTTTACTTAATTAACAGCAATAACCTCTGAATTCATCAATATCTTCTTAGTATCTTGACTCATATTTTTAATATCACAACCTATAAGAAGAGGAGCTTTCAAAATTGCTCTTTTTTATTTTAACTTATTAGATTTAATTAATTATTATTTGATTATATCTGTACATATTAGACTAATGAAGGAATACCAGATGGAAATTTAGCTGGATCAGCAATAATCTTTTTTGTAACAGGATCTCTAGTTGATTACCAAAATTAATCTAAATTTAAGTAAGTGTATCCTGCTACTGCCAATCCTGTTGAAACCAAATCATCAGCAATTTATTTGACGATATTTTAATTGATATTGCAGCCATATTTATTTCAGGGATTCCAACTCATAGGAGGTTTTCTACTTAGACCATTATCTAAAGCATTTATTTTAATTAATATGGCACAGATAAATAAATATTTTTACATATTATAAATTTAAAGGATTGAATTAGAAATAATCTATATAAATATGAGATCATTGAAATTCTTTTTCACTAGATGGATTAATCAATTTAAATGATCCATATGAGATTCCATTAATATTAAAACAACTTTCTACATTATGATAAGAATTTTCAGAAATTAATTCAAAGCATTCTTCTATCTCATATTCATTTTGTTTATTCAAATCTTAAAGGTGTTATTATAATGAGATAAGATTCTCATTCTTTTTAGGATAGATAATATAAAAAGCCCTTACATTTGACATCAGGCATGCCATGGTTGGTTGATCATTTAATTTCTTTTGTTGTTTGAAATGTTTATTTTTGGATAAATAAGTTATTTCGCTTTCAAGTGTTTCAGTTCTTCTGAACTCACATTTACAAGTTGAACCCATTTTTAATTTAACTACTTATTAATAAATCAAAAATTCAGATACGCAAAAATATATAAACAACGTTAATAGATTAAATAACTTTTATTTTATATTACTTCATTAATGCATTTGCATGGAAATTTCTTCAATCTATAAATCTGAATCAACTTCAGTCTTGCATATTGGACATAGAGTACTTTTATGTAACCATTTGTCTATACATTCTTAGTGAAAGTAATGCCCTAGAAATTAATGAATATTTATTTTTACAGCATGGCATAGTACGAACAATCTAATTTTCTTAATAATCTTCTAAACAAATCATACATTTAATATGATTATCATCATTTTAATGTTAATTAATAAATTCCATACTAATTTAACGTATTGGTAATTAGTTAATTTATTCTTCAGAAGTTTGATTATTTCTTAATGAAAGTAACAATTATTGATTCTCATTTAAGAGTATAAATGTATTTAACAATCGATGAAGTGCTTCAATTTATTAAGCATGTTATCGATGAAAATCACCTCTTCTATTTGGAACTAAATTTGATGGTAATAATTAATCTAATTATCTATTGTGTTAAATTCTTTATTATTAAATAGGTGAAACAATTTCAATATCAATTTAAGTTTAATTTGGAACAACCAGTCCTTAATCTTCAAACATCTATACTTGAAATTCGAAATCTGAAATTCTCAAGATTTAGCCTTTTTCTAGATATCTATTTAATCCAGAGAAGTATGGATTTATTATTGTTCTTCTTATTGCTTCTTTAAATCTATCTTTTTAAGATTAATGTGTTGAAAACTATACTGGATATTTTATGCAACATAATTTAATATCTCTTAAATTCTATACATTTGGTATACTCTCAATAATCTTAAAATATTAAATTAAATGTTTACAGAATTTCTATCAATTTTCCCTGAGGCATTTTCACATTACAATATTAACAATTTTTATGAATTAACTTTAATGGTTGAATCTTATATAATCTAATTATCTTTAGGATTAACACTAAAATAGGATTTGATTTCAAAATCTAATTATTGAGATGGCTTTCTTGATAATATCTTAACTCTTCTTGTTATATCCTAGATATAATATCCATAACAATAGATTTATGTTTATTTTGCAATTATTCCTCTAGTTGGAAATCCCCCAACAACTCTAAATTCAAATGCTCCTATTGAAAATTTAATGCCTGTTTCTATGACTCTTTCACGTACAGAAAAGAAAGGTAAAAGTACGTTATTAATTAATCTTTAAAAATCTATCACATTATCTTTAATTAATGCTGGATCAAGTTTCGTTCTATATTAGAAGAAATTAAAACCTATTTACATACAAGGTAACACTTTCTAAATAAGGGAACTGTACTTCAATCATTTAATAAGTCCTTTTGTCTTCAAGTTATGTAGAATCTTATCTGATTAATATCTAACCATCATTAACAGAAAAGATCAATTTACACTAAAAACAATTAGTAATCCTCCCTAATTGATCATCGAATTAATGACTGCTACACTTTGGACATTTAACTAAGAATTGAACTTATTCTTAATTGCCATAAATATGATGAGCTGCAGTAGTGGCAGCTAATTGAGTAAATAATTAGACTTACTCTTTTATAAATATAGCAAATGTTCATTAACTAGTACCATATCTTATTATTATTGAGTCTAAGCTTAACCCATTAAATTTGATATAAAAAAATAATATTTTATAATAGTTCATCATTTTCTCTATTATAGCCAATTCCTAGATTATTTATTATCATCATGTTCTTCTTCTTTAATGCTCTAATTATTATGTTATTAATTTTATAAAGTTTATGGTGCTAATCTAGGTTATTGTGTCTGTTATGGATGTAATTATGGTTACTAGATATGAGGATAGTAGGGACCCATGTTGATCTAAACTAATTCAATGCTAAAGTACAATAAAAGTGTTTGGAATTTAAGTAGGTAAAATCACAGGGTATTATAATTGAGGGCAATACTAATTTAACATATCATTTCCATTATACATCCTCTAATTTTAAACTTCTAATAGCTCTTTAAAAGCCTAATTTATCCTATTTTAATAAAGTACTTCCAAAAATTATTACTATGGATCTTCTTCATTGTCTAATTAATCTTGATTCATTATCAATTTTTATAATATTTAATACAATAGAAATTCATAATAAATAACCAGTGAAAATTATATTAATTATTATAAGAATTACAGAATTTATCGTCTGCATTCTTATTCAAGAATAATCTGTTATTCCTATATTATGATCATTAGAATTTGATATAAAAATTTAATTTTTAAATTTAAAGACTAATTCAAATTTAAGTTGAAGACTAAGATCTAATCAATTAAACTAAAATAGAGTTAATAAATATATTCATTTCCAATAAGATTGTATATCTACAACAATTAAAGTCATATTATCCTTTTTAAAATTAGTATTTTTTGATGATGCCTTATCAAGTAGATATTAGGCTAATTAATCAATCTCTTATCTATTCCAGTTTTCAATTAATTACTATAATTCCTCATTCTTTATAATCTAAAATTATAATAATTTCAAATTACATCCCAAAATCCATCAGAAGCTAGAATCAAATATTTATCATTATGTCTAATTTTATGCAACTTTATTTCAGGTATTGCTATTAACCCAGATTAACGATGTTTCTTATCTCCAAAAGCTCTTGTAACTGCTAATTCTCCATTTATACGAGGAATTGAACTACATATTTAATAATAAATCTTACTGTCTATCTAATATTGTAGCTATTTATTCTACTCTTTTAAATTCATCTTCTCTATTTAACTTATGTTCCTAATTCAATTTTTCTATTTCATATTCCTCTGTAATTAAAACACATGCTGAATCTCCAAGATTTACAATATAGAGATCTTTCTATTTATTGATCACACATAAAGCTGTAGATCCACCTAAATGTTAATTCTCCTCTTAACAATCCAATATATATTGATTCATTTTTTCAAAACTATTTATAATAGCCTTTTCTAAATTATCTTCAAAATTGCAATCCTTTTGTAAATATTCATGAAGCTTATTTTCAAGGATGGCTGATACTGAATTTCCTGCATGTCCATCATATATTGCATAAAAGAATTATAGATCTTCATTTTTATTTAGATTAGGAATTGCAACAAACTTAAATTAATACAATTCTGTACTCTATCTTCTTAATATTTTCTACCACATTTTAATTAGGCTACATCTGCAATTGTTTTACCATTATGTAAAAATTATAAGGATTAATCACTTGCTTTAACAAATAAAACAATACATAGGCTCATTAAAAAATATATCAGTTTGTTATTTCCAACCATCAGATGAATGAGTACTCTCTGGTTGTACATCTGGGACATTTACAACCAACTGTAATTTAGGCTTTTGTTTTTTCTGATTATTAGTTTGTGTCAAGCTCATAAAAGTAATAAAAATTATTAAACTATAAATAATCCAAAAGAATAATCATATTTTCTTAAAATATATTGAATAGAATTTTTAATAAAATATTATTCTCATGATAAATATTAATTAATTGTTATTGATTAAGATCAAATAATCTATTTTATATATGTCAATTCCTTTTATAAACACATTTAAATAGATATCTCTATATTCTCAAAAATATTATAAGAAATTGTTTATTTCGTAATTGATTAAATCATTAATCAATTGCTTAAATTATCTATATATAATTTCTATATTATGAAATAAATTAAAATAATAAATGAAAATCGTCATCCTCTTAGTCTTAGTGATGTCATCATTGGCAAGGCTTACATATAGAAATGACTTATTCGGAAGAGAAGAGATAGTCAAGGCCAAAAATACAGAGTGGTTTACTTAGAAATTAGACCATAATGATCCAACATCATAAGAATTTTTTAGATAAAGATTTCATATTTATGATGATTATGTATAAGATTAATAGCCTGAAGCAGTTATATTATATATTTGTGGTGAATGGACATGTAATATGGAAATAAATATATGATAGGTGATGGAATTGGAAAAGGATTAACATTTGATGCTGCATAATAATTGAAGGCTGTAATACTTGTTTTGGAACATAGATATTATGGCTAATCTTAACCATTTGAGGATTGGAGTACTCCTAATTTAAAATATCTAAATATCCATTAAGCTTTAGATGACATAGCTTATTTTATCATGAGCATTAAAACAAATGGATACTTTAATATAAAACCAGACACTCCATGGATTCATCTTGGAGGTTCATATCCAGGAGCATTAAGTGCTTGGTTTAGATATAAATATCCTCATTTAACAATTGGAGGTTTGGCATCTTCTGCAGTAGTAAGAGCTGTTGCTTGTTATCATGAATACGATATGCAAGTTTATCTTTCTGCATTAGAAAGTTCATAAGAGTAATTAAAATAAAAAATTAATTAGATGTGTAGATAGAATTCAACAAGTAAATTAAAAGATTGAAGATGATTTGGCTACTGATCCTACTACTATTAAGGCAGCATTTAATGCTTCTGAATTAAAAGATATTGAATTCTTATCAATGATAGCAGATATTTATGCTGGTATGGTTTAAGGAAGATAAAGATCATAGATGTGTGAAAGATTATAAAAAGGAAATACTTTATAAGAATGGTTTGATGAAATAATATTAATGGCTGAAGAAACAGTTGATTAAGAGAGTTATGGGTCTGAATTTTTAAAAGATATTAATATTGATTTCTCTAAGAGTTCAAGATAATGGACATATTAGACTTGTATAGAAGTAGGTTACTTTTAAACTGCTAATGTATATAATATATAATTATATATTTAGCCAAATGCAGAATAATCAACAAGATCATAATAATTAGTTCTTGATTTCTTTAGACAATTATGTGAATACTCTTATGATGTCCCTANCTCAAAAATATTATAAGAAATTGTTTATTTCGTAATTGATTAAATCATTAATCAATTGCTTAAATTATCTATATATAATTTCTATATTATGAAATAAATTAAAATAATAAATGAAAATCGTCATCCTCTTAGTCTTAGTGATGTCATCATTGGCAAGGCTTACATATAGAAATGACTTATTCGGAAGAGAAGAGATAGTCAAGGCCAAAAATACAGAGTGGTTTACTTAGAAATTAGACCATAATGATCCAACATCATAAGAATTTTTTAGATAAAGATTTCATATTTATGATGATTATGTATAAGATTAATAGCCTGAAGCAGTTATATTATATATTTGTGGTGAATGGACATGTAATATGGAAATAAATATATGATAGGTGATGGAATTGGAAAAGGATTAACATTTGATGCTGCATAATAATTGAAGGCTGTAATACTTGTTTTGGAACATAGATATTATGGCTAATCTTAACCATTTGAGGATTGGAGTACTCCTAATTTAAAATATCTAAATATCCATTAAGCTTTAGATGACATAGCTTATTTTATCATGAGCATTAAAACAAATGGATACTTTAATATAAAACCAGACACTCCATGGATTCATCTTGGAGGTTCATATCCAGGAGCATTAAGTGCTTGGTTTAGATATAAATATCCTCATTTAACAATTGGAGGTTTGGCATCTTCTGCAGTAGTAAGAGCTGTTGCTTGTTATCATGAATACGATATGCAAGTTTATCTTTCTGCATTAGAAAGTTCATAAGAGTAATTAAAATAAAAAATTAATTAGATGTGTAGATAGAATTCAACAAGTAAATTAAAAGATTGAAGATGATTTGGCTACTGATCCTACTACTATTAAGGCAGCATTTAATGCTTCTGAATTAAAAGATATTGAATTCTTATCAATGATAGCAGATATTTATGCTGGTATGGTTTAAGGAAGATAAAGATCATAGATGTGTGAAAGATTATAAAAAGGAAATACTTTATAAGAATGGTTTGATGAAATAATATTAATGGCTGAAGAAACAGTTGATTAAGAGAGTTATGGGTCTGAATTTTTAAAAGATATTAATATTGATTTCTCTAAGAGTTCAAGATAATGGACATATTAGACTTGTATAGAAGTAGGTTACTTTTAAACTGCTAATGTATATAATATATAATTATATATTTAGCCAAATGCAGAATAATCAACAAGATCATAATAATTAGTTCTTGATTTCTTTAGACAATTATGTGAATACTCTTATGATGTCCCTATATTTCCTGATGAAGATAGAACTAATGCTTATTATGGTGGTCTTGATATAAATGTGGATCATCTTATTTTTTCGAATGGATCAGATGACCCATGGTAACATGCTTCAATAACAAAATGGAAATAAGGAAAAGAATATGATGTCAAGTATATTAAATGCAAGGATTGTTCACATTGTATTGATCTTAAGGCATCTAGTCCAGAAGATCCACCTGAATTAACTCAAGCTAGATAAGAAATTCTAGCTATATTTTAATAATGGATTAATGAACATCTATAACAATAGTAACAAAAAAAATAATCATAAATAATTGAGTGAATATTATATATAGATATATATATTTATATCAAAGTAATAATGAAGTCAATAAGGCATAAAATGGCCTCTTTAATGATGACAACATTACTAAGTTTATCTTCTAAATTATCTCTACATCATTCTCATTTATAAGAATTCTTGCCATAATTATTCTAATTCACATGGACAAGGTTAATAGGGTTGATGATAATACATTTATGGTTCTTCTTATCGATATTATTATCTTAATGGTGATGCACATAAAGATTTACTTTGGGACTATTATTGGGGTGATTTTTATTATTGCCATGAACTCATTCTTTTATGTCCTGTTTATTATTCTAACTATTTTTATGGTTATTAGATCATTTAATTTAAGTGTTTATAATTCTCTTCTTCTTGAAAGCGCGAGTTCTCTTGAATGTAAATTTGGCTTTATGCTAATTGAGCAAATTGTGGACTCTATTCTTCAACACTCATAATTGAACTTTATAATGGAAATCTGGCAAATGAATGACTTAATTAAGTTTGATTCATTGAAGATCCTTAAGTATATGACATTCCCACAAATTGATAATTATTATTATTCATAAAAATATAATTGTTTTTTTAAAATAATTTATAAATAATTTATATAATAATATGAATACAGAATATTAATAATAAGAAATTGAATTATAGAGACAATCCCATTAAAACTCAGAAGACACAAATAATTAATTATTTTCTATTATTTTTGCCATAATTTACAATTTTATTTGGGGAATACTATTTTATATATTTAGACATCTTTATTGTAAAATTATTAAATTTTAATCAAGAGATGAAGAAGAATGTAAAGGAATGAATTTTTGGTCATTCATAGCACAGATATTTTTATTTTCAGTTGCAATATACAAATTGTACAATAATATTTCTAGATAGAGCAATTGAATTACCAGTATATTATAAAGTATAAGGTAGATGGAAATAAAATCTATTTGAGATAACAGAAAAAGTAGAATTTGTTTTAAGCATTATTGTATTAATTGGATTAAGTGTAATTTAGAATTGATTTATATAGTATGCTTATTTTCAATTTGAAGATTGTTATGGATTGAGAAACTTTGTTTTATTTTATTTGATTGTAACTTATGTAGTTTTAGGAATATATTTGATTTCTCTACTTTTATTAATATTAAATAAAAGTAATAATTCTGGATGAGATATAATGAATTATGATTTTATTATCAAAAATTAAATTCAAAAATCATTTTCTCAAAGTACTAAAATGTTATTTCAAAAGCTAACTACAATTCATTTTGGGTTTAAATTTTTTCTATTAGACAGGTTCTGGACAAATAGTTAAGAAATCAGGATCATTTTCTATTGGTATATCATTTATTATCAAATTATCTAAAATAACTGTTTTATCTCCTTTTCTCATTATTAATTTCGGTTTACGTCCAATTGCAGGCATATATCTACTACGTTAAGATAAACCAGATATGCCATGTGAAAATGTTTAATTTAAATTGTTTGCTAATTTAAAATTACTTTCACCTGATTCCCACATACTATTACTTCTATGATTTGTTAATACATTATTTTCAAATCGACCCTTCTTAATCACTCCATTCTTACACAATTCACCATCTCCATGTTACATACCCCTTTCCCAATATCCTTTATAATATTAATCCTTCCAAAACATCTCACCATAACCATGTCTGTAATCATTAACAAATGCTCCAACATAATAATTTCCTGATGGCCATGTAAATACTCCTTGTCCATGTTTTTTATCATTCTCAAACATACCCTCATAACGATAATGACCTTCTTTTAAAGGATCCCACTTACTCCATACTCCTTTACCATGTCTTACTCCATTTTTAAACATACCTATTATTTAATATATTTTATATTCAACCTCTATATTCTGCACCATTATTCCAAATATATGTACCTTAACCTTCTGGTTTCCCATTACAAAACTATCCATTATAAAGATCTCCATTAGCAAAATTCTCTATTCCATGTCCATGCTTCAAATTATTTCTAAAACTTCCAGTATATTTATTATTATTCTAAATGTAAACTCCATATCCATCAATTTTTCCAAATTTCCATTCTCCTTCATAATAATCATTTCCCATTTTCCAAATTCCATGTCCATGTTTGAATCCATTCACCCATTATCCATCATAACTTTCGTTATTACGAATATAAACTCCTTTTCCTTATGGTTTTCCATTTTAATATTCTCCTTCAAATGTCTCCCCTGAATCAAAGATCTCTTTGCAATGTCCATGTTTTCTATCATTCTACCAGACCCCTTCGCAAACTCGACCTTGTAATAGCATAAGACCTTAGTAAGTAAATATTTTATCTCACCTTATCCATGTTTTTTACCATTCATCATTTAACCATAAAATGTTCCATTTGGATAATCTTATTCTTAATAATTTGTCAGTCTTTTCAGCATTAGAATCTTACCTCTAAAAATGTTTTGTTAATATATATTTACTCATAATCTTTATTATAAATATGGATGTTTTATTGTGGTTTAACAACACTAATTGGACTTAGTGGTTTATCATCTGGTATACTGATAGATGCAATAGTTGGATTGATATTCATATTTTGTTAAACTTATTGCTCTATTAATAAATCATTTCGTTATTGCATTTAATTTATATATAATATTATTACATATTTCAGCATAATAATTCACTATTATTATGAATATAGTTAAAAACTTATTTTAATTAACAATTTCTACTTCCACTCTTAAACATATGTGTAAAGAAATCTATCCAAAGGCATGCAGCTCCAACAATTAATAAATGTAAAACTGTTGGCTATAATTGTTCTTTCTTTTAATTTAGAGGAACATTAAATGATTTATTGAAGCTATAAGGTTAATTTCTTTAGGAGCAGAGGTAGACTTAAAATAAGAAATTTATAATAATGATAAGTTTTTTACTCAAATGTAAACTTCGTTTTAATTTCTCCATTTATATTTATTCAGCATTCTCTCTTTAAAAAGTAGAACTTTGATATTATCATAATTATGATGGAGAATCACTTTCATTATTTAAAATTTTGCTTTTTTTATTAAATTCTTAAACATTGTTAGAAACAACATCTTTATTGCTAATAATTTAGATTATATTTGTATTCATTTAGTTTGAAGATTGTTTTATTTACAATCACATTAAAATTTATAATGTTAGTTGTTCTGATCTAAATAATTATCATTATAAAAAGAGAAAACTTTGATAGGCTAATAATATTGAGTGATATTATTAATTAAAATTATTGCTTTCTGTTTTGAATTGTTTATTATCTCTTTTGGATTGTCCACAAAATGCTTAATTATACATTAATATTATTATGTTTATTTTGATTCTCTTAATAGTATAAACCATACAATTCACAATCAAAGTTGATTAAGTTGCATGTATGTGTCCAGACATACCCTAAGAAGATATCTGTAATGAGTCTAAATTTTGTAAATGGCTTGATGGATCATGTCAAAAACTTAATTGTACAGATGCAACTGATCAAGATTGGTGTGATAGAATACTACCAAATTCATATAAATGTGCTTGGAATTAAGGAAAATGTGATACATTTACTACTTGTTCTAATTATATAGTTTCCTAACCATAAGAATGTTTTGAAAAATGGTTCTGTATTGATGGTGGACTTACAGCAAGTGGACTTTACACTTGTGCAGAATAAAATTAATAGGATGTAGAAGAAGAATAGGAAATTGTATGTATTAATGAAACAAATGAAGAGGGATGTCTCGGTATATAAAAGGATGGCAATTATTGTTTTTGGGATTCTGAAGCTTAGAATTGCACTACCAAAAGTATTCAAAGTTGTGAAGATGCCTCAAATACAACTGTAGAATATTGTAAAAACACATCATGCGAATGGAATGATTCCACTAAAGAATGCATTGATTTATCATGTGATTTATTTAAAAATGAGGGTGAATGCAATTTATATTTTAACTTTGATTTAAGTGAAGTTACAAGATGTTTATGGAATAGTACAACTTGCATAGACTTTGAAATAATAGATCTACCATCTGAGTAATGTTTGAATATGACATTAAATACTTATGTTTGGAATTCCATTTAATCAAGATGTGTAGAATGTGCTTAATGTTAAATCCTTAAATTAATTTTAATTTTAATTTTGATTTACATTTGAAAATACATTTTAATATTTATATATATATTTCTTGTACAAAAATTTTGTCAGAAAAAGAAATTGGTAATCTATATATTTATATGACAAACATATTTGTAATTTAAATAATTGGAGAATATTGATTAATTATATTAAAAAAACAAGTTAATTTATAATTATAAATTTAATGAGATAGTTTTGACAAAATTTTGGTAAATGTTAGAAAATATTTATAGTTTAGTAAATAATATTTATGATATTATATGATAATAAACATACTTGTTTATAATAAGTATTACAATTTTTCATTTATTAATTTCTCCTATTAAAATCTTCTATATGAGTACTATATAACTATATTTATTAATTATATTGTTATAATTTTATTTAACCAGATTAGATTTTGTAAAGTTAAATTTTGGATAATAATTATTATAAGATTTTATTAATTTTTACAAAACAAGCCATTAAAGTTGGGAAATTAAATAAAACCATAAAAACTCCCAAATAAAATTTATTAAAAAATGACTCAATACAATTCTGTAAGAATTTATTATTAATTTCTACCCCCCTTTAAGATAAAATCCTAACATTTATAATGCAAGTTAGTATTCTCATAATTTATTAGTTTAATTCTAAATGTCCAAATTTTCCTGTTCAGCTCTTTATATAAGTAATGAAGGAGAACGTACAGAGGTTGTGATTACAACTCAATCTGGTGATTTACAAATAGTGGTACTTATGTTTATATTATAATTTAAGTCAAAAGTAGAAAATGAGCAGATGGTTTATTTACCTTCCAATTCAATGGACACAATTCTTAGCTTTGCAAG